CTACTCAGGAAAATGTATATTCAGCTGTGAGAAGACACGCTCAGCCACAGACCTTGTATTTTCTTTTGCCTTGCCCTTCCCAGTGCTTAATCTTGGCTCTGTTCAGTTTTCTTTCTGCTCTCTCTCTTTGCTCCTAATCCGTGTCCATGCTTATAAGCCCCTAATATTTATATGGCATTATCTGTGTTAGAGATTACTGCTGACAAGTAATCTCTTCCCTCTTCTGAATGAAGAATTACAAGCATTGCTGAAGATCAGAAAGTGAAATTAGATCCCAGAAAGTATTTGACAACTTCAGTTAACCCTAATATCAAATTCCTTAAATATTGGGAATCTCCTTTTGGGCTTTTAGGTTTCAATTGTAACTCAGCTCTGGGATACCTGACCACCCTCAACAGTTCCTTCTCACAGCTGAACAAAATGTGTCTGTAATCAAGAAAAAAAAGTCACTGAAAACAAGTCTAGAAGTTTTGTCACTTCATAGAATCATAGAATATCCACAGCTGGGATATTCCCAGTAACGATGGGAGCAAATTCATGATGGGAATGGGAAGAATTCCAGGAGGCAGAAGGTAAGAAAGGGCAAAAGTAGGATTTCCCAGTTACTGCGGAGCTTATGTCCATTGTGGCAGTTATAAGGCAAATGGACTCCAGGTATTGGTGTCCCATCAGCTCTGCATGAACCATGAACCTCTGTGTGGTTTTAGGTCACATAAATTCTACTGGGCATATTACAGGTAGCAAAGAGACATTTGTGATCATGTTGATAGAAAGACAAAGGAGATTCTCCATGGACATGACTGTGCGTCAGTGGCAGAATAAACACTGCAGCTTCGAAATGCATTTGTTGGATCTCCAAGGCCTGGGGAAGGTCTCTGATCTATCTGATTGTGGTTCTTAGGGACTGCAAATGACCCTCTTGTACTTGGCTTTTGGAGAGCAGTTTTGCTCATGTTCTGTAAGAATGCATGAATTGAGGAAGTTCGTATCTACTTTTATTATTTTTAAAACTTTTTTCTTTTCACCATATGATTTAAAAAGAAATCCACATCACTTTCAGAACTGTCTTTAACTTTGCTTACAGAGTGCCAATTTTAGATTACATCCATTCATACAAACTGTTCCAAACTGTATACAGTACACACACCTTGCCTATATAATCTGACCCGACCTAAACCAACACTCTAGTTACTTTTTCTGATGTAGTTTCTATTCATTTAGCAGTGACATCAATGCCCTGCCATTCTTTTTTGTTGTTGGTTTAATATAATGGTGCACACTTGGAGTGCCATGAGATGAGAGCAATTTCTGTTAGTAATTTGTCGTTAGGCAAATGAAGTGCTGCAAATGAATACATAGGATGTAATGTAACATTACAGAAAAGCAAGAGAAAATGCACAGGTCTTCTCCAAGTAAAATTTCATGGGTTTCCTCAGAGTGGGGTTTAAAATGGTACATCTGTCTTGATAGCTAGAAGCCAACAACCTGCTGCTGTAGCAACCTTCTCCTGAAGCTTACATGCTCCACTCCCAGCAGCATCCTTCCCCTGCTCTGCCTCTCTGCAGTGGTATTTTCTGAAGTTTGGACAGAAGTTTTAGAAACTGATCATGTCTGTGGGAGCAGGGGCTGGCTCCAAATAAAGCACTAGAGGAGCTGGCTTTTTTGGTGTTTTTTTTTTTCTTTTTTTTCTTTTTTTCCCCCAAAAGTTATAGATGCCTTTGAGATTCCCAACTGGGCGGTGCTGTAGAAATCCTGTGTGCTCTTGATGATTAACACTGACCAAGATCCACACAGGTACTGGGTGGAGAGATGATTCAGTCTGAAAGGTGGCAGGAAAAAAAAAAAAAAAAAGAATATGAATTTGGAAGAAGAAAAAAAGAATGGCTAGAGCAAATATGCTCCAGAGAGAATGCAAACAGAAAAAAAAGTGTTAACTATACATTGTCTTTCTCCAGCATGCATTTGGGAAAGGCACATGAGCAGGTTTAGAAGACTCTGTGTTACTATTTTATTTTCAAGTCATTTATTTAAGTGTCATAAAGAACATTAGCAAGTGGCTAGGGACTACAGTATCCATTATATTATTCCAATCATGTGGACAGGTTTATACTATGTATGATTTACAGTGGTCTTTCTGCAGTTAAAATTGTTATATTCAGGTACAACATTTTATACACGGTTGTATTTAGTAAAATCCAAGTGGCTGAACACAGACACGTCTTCCAATCAAAGTCCAAAAAATTAATGCTTTTACATGAACAGTGGGTCTTGCAGTGAGAGCTGTTTATGGCTCTCTGCCTACATCCTTTATCATGTCTCCGTTGTTGTTAGTAAAATATACAGAACTACTTTATGCCAAAACAATGGAAGTTAATGCAGATAACTTGTTCCAAAGTTAACCATCAAATAAATCTTTTTTTTTTTTTTTTAAACTGTTAAGTGAAATGGTGTTCTAAAACTTTTTAAAATTGTCAAGATGATGAATACTGTGTGTGTAATACAAGTAAATACAACAGAATTGATTGCACACATATGTCTTAAATAAAAGGGTATTAAATAGTTTATTCGGGAGAGAAATTAGTGAAGTTTTATCTAATATTATTAGAAATGGTGGAGCAGATTTATGAGGACTGAAAACTAAGGAAAAAACCTGCTCTGATGTAGAAATGGTGAAGGGAGGGATAGATTGGCTGGGAGATTAAACACAGACAACACTGAACACTTAGGTGGTCCAACCTTTAGTGCATCAAGGGTTCTTCTCATGGCAATGATTTTTCAAAGTCTGTTAGTTAAATGTGATTGGATGGATCAGTACTCTTGACTCTCTTACAGGCTTGTTGGTTTAAGGAAAATCCCCTTACCTAATTTCACCTCCCCTTTTCCCCTGCATAAATATATGAAAATACATCCTCGCATGGGTGCCAGGCAACTTAACTGAGTTTTGTGTCATCTCACAAGGATTTTACAAATGAAATAATCGGGCAAAATAAAATACATAGTGACATCATTGATGTGTCCTAGGGTTTGGATCTTCATGAACCTGATGGTTTTAGATAATTCAGCTTTGGCTGCCACTTACTTGTGTCAGCCCTGTGAAACTTGATTCAGAACATGAGTTCGATGGTGGTCAGAGATATCCATGCTCTGAGCTTAAGCACCCAAAGTGAGGCGATATCTCCAATGCTGACCTAACTTTTAAGAGTATGTGTATATGCTTAGTAGCCAGGCACATAGGAATATAGGCAGCCATATCGAGTTGGTATCTTTATGATCCAGCTTAGGCATCACCTCAGGAAGGGTTATAAGCAGCACGTGCAGATTTCAGTTTCCAAAATAATTTTTGAAAAATCTACTTCAAATGTTATTAGGAACAAAAACCTGTATCAAGTGCAGAAGGCACTTGTTATTTGTAAAGGGGATGGAAGGTTGAGGGTCTTGAGCATGGTGATTCACTGAGATGGGAAAAGCTCAATACGGGCATATTTGGGAACTTGTCTTGTGTGTAATGTGCATCATGGATTTGGGTGAGATGGCTGAATGTGGCTGAGCTGCTGTGGCTGCATCTACAGAGCAGCTCCACTACTGAACGGTGAGCAGTGATGAAAAGGTGGATCTCAGAGGTTGTAAGATCAGTGACTTGGAAATGCAGCTTTGTATAGATAAACATAAAAATAATAGCCAAGGAACAGCAACCCAAATCAAAGAATACACGTTGCACTGAGTAGTCAGACAACGTGCTGACTTAAGAAAGGGGATCTTAGGATTTTTGAAGAACAAGTTCATATAGAGTACGTGTGTGTGTGTTTGTATTTTGGTGGTAATTTCCAAAGAAGAGGGCCTGTGTGTGTTCAGAGGTGCTCCGTTGCAGGGCAGGGTGATTCCAGCATTTAAGTATATTTGTTTTGACAAACAGTTTGTTCACAGCTCAGAAAGGAGCTCTTGCTGTGATCGAGCAAAACTCTGAAGAACTGTGGAGGAGGTTGATAAAATGGAGCAAGTGTTCGCTTTAGTAAACAGCTCAATAAACAGGCTATAGTGTGTAAACATTTGGAAATTAAAAGGAAACAGAAAATTTAAATGTCTCTGCTTATCTGGAAGAGCCATAATCACACTGAAGGGCATGTAAGTAAATAATATTTGAGTAAATTAACTTGAGGTACAGACAGACATTTAGAGTGAGCATCCCGTGATGGCAACGCGTGTAGTTCTCTTTATGTTAATTTAGAAGAGTTGTGTTTGAATAGAGGAGCTTCATTGAGTGTTTCCTGAGCAAGGACCACAATTCATCCAACCCTACTTCAACTCAAATGATGAAGTACATCTGTGTTGTTGCATTTTAGGTATTATGAAAGGAGTTCAGCTCTGTGCAAATGCATCCCGTTGTTGGAAGGGATTTCTGTTTTTAAGTTTTGATTTGTCTTCTCAGGTGATCGTTACAGAAATCAGGAAAGGATAGTTGGATAAAATCCCTATTCCATGCCACAAGAACCCTTATGGCCCATGTTATTAGACAGTATATCTTTTTTCTGTATTAGCTTTCACTTAGCTGTGATCAAGGCACTTGCTGGTGTCAGCTTAGGCATAGACAAGACTCATGTCATTACACACTGCGTTTGGCATTTATTGGCACTCTTAGCTGTAGTCTGAGCAAAAGTGCCAAGGCTTCACTGGCTAAAATAACAGAAATTGCCTTTTTACTTCCCAGAGATGTTTCCTTAATTTTATTTTAGTAGGAAAGTAGTTTTGATCTCCCAGCCTGTGATGTTAGCAGTGTTGTAGTTCAGAGACCTTTGGATCCCCAGCCAGTGAAGGTTTCACAGGCACCGTATTTTCTAAGATGTATATGCAGTGTGTTACTGAGTGGAGTTGTTGCTTGGATGGAAGTACAATACCAACTGTTTTTTGTCATTTCATTTAATATGAATTAATTAAAAAATGCCAAGTGAGTCTGCAATCCAGTGTAAACACTATATAGATTTTTCTCTTCCTTTTGCTAACAGGTTCATGCCAGAACATAAGCTTGTCCATTTGGAAAACATAATTGGTGTTAAAAGAAATGGAGATTCTTATCAATGTGAAGGCCTGCCTGGGCAGCAGAAGAGCAGAGCTTTGGGAGGTTTAATGAAAAACAGCAACGCGTGTCGTGAGTCTGGACTTTGTGAAGCACAGCCTGGACTTTGTACCACACAGCATGAGGAACTGCATTCCCCATTAACAGCAGCAGAGAGATTGAACAAGTCTGAAGCATCAGAAAGTACAAATCCTTGTCAAGAAGAAGATAAGCAACATGTGACTTTTAACCTCTGTAATATCTGGAGTGGAATGGACTATCAGCAGAGACCTTTACATGTTGCCTGGCCTCACAGGTG